TACTGTGGGTCAGTGGCTGTAATGACAGACTGCAGGTAGTGTTGACAACTGAAGTGACAATCACATGTTGTCTCATTAGGCTTGAAGTGTTCTTGGCTTTTCACACATCCATTTTGCAGTCTTTTCTCCTGCCTGACCTCTTCTTTAGTGTGTCGGGGCTTAAGTCAGCCAAAAGCGCTGATAATTACGACTTGCTCTTTCGCTGCTAATGATGGCTGTTTCTTCTCGTGTTTAAGACATGTTGTTTAACGGTTCCTTTGGCGATCTTCCTTCGCACGTCTCGTTTAATGTGGGATGGATCACTGACTCTATTGGCATAGAGCAGGTAGTTTTGTCATTTTAAGTGAGCCACAAGTGTTGACGTTGACATCTTGATAAGCATGCACTGAATGATAAATCTGACTGAAATACGGGTGAAGGTTTTGTGATGCACTCTTAAATAATAACGTTTCCAAAAAGGGTTTTTCACAGCATAGAAAAAACTGTTTTGGTTCCCCAAAGAACCTTTCAGTGAACAGTTCTTAAAAGAGCCGCTTTTTGTTAGTGTGAAAAATATTTGAATAATCTGAACCTTTTTTCCACTGTGAAGAACCTTTTGTGGAATGAAAAGGTTCCATAGATGGTAAAGATTCTTTGTGGAACCACTGACGCCTTTATAAAGAACCTTTATTCTTAAGAGTGTGCATTGCATCTCTGCCATCATAGTGAACATTCATCAAATTCATTCATTGGATTTTTTAATTTCATGGCTTTAATTTTGCTTTTAAGTTGTTTTAAATGAGTGACTTGTTTCAGTCTTTAATTTATGGATGGTTACTTTTCAATATAAAGTTTAAACCAGGAAAAAACACAATAAAGAGACAATTCATCCAAAAATGTAAATCCTTTTATCATTTACTCATCTTTGTGTTGTTTTAAGCCTGTATGCAATAACAACAATAGAAAATATTTTACATTTTTCAAAATATCTTTTGAGTTCAACAGAAGAAAATCATACAGCTTTGGAATAACATGAATGTGAATAAATGATGACAGAATTTTAACGATAAAGTGTTATTTTAACTTATTTAATTATATACAATTATAGTATTCGTTAATATTTTAAATTAGCTTTTATTTTTAGTTCACTTATTTTTCATTTTAAGTTTATGTTTTAGTAATTTTGTTATGTGCTTTTGTCATTTGATTGTTTTTTTTCTATTTAGATTTAATTTATTTTATTTCAGGTTTAGTCATTTTAGTACTTCAACTTATATTAGTTCTCAAGGCAACATTTCTATTTTTTTTTTAAGTCGAAGGTTTTCATCTTATATTTATTTCTTGTTTTACTTCAGCTTAATTTCAATGAACAAAAACCATTTGTTACTGAACCAAACAACGCTGTTTGGTTGAACTATTTCCTTTAACCATAAATATGTAACAGCATGTTAGAATTTGCGAATATGCATGTTTATTTTGGCAAATGCAGTATATATTACAATCACAAAAAGTGTATAAAATGAATAATACAAATACAAAATACTGAAAACAAATTCAAATTCAATTCATATTGGACAAATTCAAAATGTATGTCAAAAGTCAGTGCATTTACGTATGTTCCAGGCTTCGATTTAACAGAATTGCAAAAACATAACACAAACCACAACATAAAAAACGGGACTGAGAGCAGTAGCCCGAGGCGATTACTGTTGTCTTTCAGCTGCAACATGAATTAGATGTCAGCAGGTGAGTCTGAGAAGAGAGTGTGAGAGCGTTCACACAACTGTCTGACAGAGGGAATCTCCTCTGCTTCCACTCGGACCTGCTGACTCAGGCACTGCGGTGGGAACTTGGCTCACGATGCAGGCCGACCGCTCCCTCAAGTGTTCATACCTGACGGCGCTATGTCCCATGCTACACCTCTGTTCCCTCCCGCGGATACAGCAAGTCAGAGGGGCCCAGCACTGGATAGAGCTGGCTGCTGTACTGGTTGAGCATAGAGTCACTATAGCTGTCTGTGTACGAAGGGGGTGAAGTGGAGACGTTGGATGGGAGGGGATGAGGGATATGGGTTTCCCATTGCGGCACGGTAGCGCTCGGCGAGTACAAGCCATACACCCCAGGCGGAGAAGATCTTTGGCTCAAAGGCAAAGCTAGGGGAGATGGGAGAAGAGCCTCTCTCGAGCCTGAAGCCACATCACCCATTTGACTTAGAAAGCCATTGAGACACGGAGTCGGATCTGTGGAGACCGGAGAGTTTCCTCTCTCTGAGGAGTCGCTGGGCTCTTTGGGACTCGATAGAGCCGAGTCCGATCCAGAATAGCCTTTTCCCTCCTCTTCAGCCAGAGAGTCAGACTTTCTCTTCCTCTTGCGACGGAAGTTGCCATTATCGAATATCTTCTCACAGTTTGGGTCAAGGGTCCAGTAGTTTCCTTTACCTGTTAAATAAAGAAATGTATTTGTTATTTTGCCAGTTGAAAAATGATCTAGAACTAAACTAAAAACCCAAGCAGTTACAGAAGAAGAAACATGTTCTGACCTGGATCGCTGTCGTCTCTGGGCATTTTCATGAAGCAGTCGTTGAGCGAGAGATTATGCCGGATTGAGTTCTGCCAGCTGGCTTTGCTCTTGTTGTAGAAGGGGAAGTTGTCAGCCACATACTGGTAGATCTGGCTGAGAGTGAGGCGACGGTTTGGGGCTCCGTGTATTGCCATCGCAATAAGTGCTGAGTAAGAGTAAGGAGGCCTCACGAGTTTCATCAGATCTTCTTGGGAAGGCAGGGAGAACCAGCTGAAACTACCGTCCGATCCCCCGATTCCACCTGCGGCCACATACGGCTTCGTCATCCCGTAGTGCTGAGGCCCTCCACTGAGACACGGGGCCGGATTGAGCCCGGGTCCGTTGAACCACAGGTAAGGGTTGGAGGTCTGGCCGGCATATTCTCCAAAATCGTAAGCGGACGGTGGGGTTTGCTGTGGACTAGGCACAGGCTGAGTGCTGTAGAAGTTGTCACCATACAGGCTGAACTCTTGGGACTCCGGCCCCATGCTGTGGAACTGGGGTGAAAGGGCTTGAGGAACAAATGACGTCATGCTTTCCTCCTATTTTTTCTTCTGTTTGTTCTGTCGTTCTGAGAGAAAACACCTCCTTCTGCTCTGCTGCCTCTGTCTAACACAGGTGGATTGGTCAGGTGCATCACAGCCTGACACCTGTCTCACCTGAACTATTTATACAAGTTTTGTAACACCCTCTCTGCTCTGACTGGCTGTTACGGTCACACCTCAGCCCTCATTTGTTTGAGGGGGGGGGGGGGGGGGGTGATATATCAGTAGAATATCTTACATTTCATGAGTGACTTGGATGGATTAACTTAAAATGGTCTTATATTACATAAATATAGTTCTTAACATTCAAATCATTACACACAACACAGAACCTTTTATATGTCACATATGTTGAATGAAGGTAAAATGGAACAGTTTTGGCAGTTAAAAGTAACACAGTTTACCTGAATATTTCACACTATAAAAGTAGATTATTGTGTTTTAACCTGAGCTATTACAGTGAAATGATAGATAGATAGATAGGTTCGTAAATTCGACTGTGAAACAAGTGCTGGCAAATATAAATAACTAATTTTAAGTTGATACCCATGTGGTTTCAGTGAAATGATATTAAAGATATTAAAGATGCACCATCATGCAGTTGGCTTAGTTAATTGTTTACTTTTTAAGATCACTAACCCCGCCCCCCTTTCACTTGAGATAATGCGAATTCAATTTGAGCCATTAGTGTCTCAATCGTAATTTACATTCTAAAGCAGAGCGCGCGCACCACCCATGCCTCTACTGTCTCGGAGGCGTAGCCTCATTGCGCACGATTAAGCTACGGTTTGATTTAGCCATCTGGTGCATGGTGCCCGTTAAAAGCTATTAAACAAATCCAAACCACCTTTAAGGTGCGCTCACAGTTAAGACGAATTCTGGTAGAATCATTCAATATTTCCGCGAGGACGAAAAAGTTCCCCACAGATTTCGCTCGATCATTTTCACATTGGTCACGTGAATCGCTGCGTTGGCTACTGAAAGCTGCTTGGTGTGAAAGTGACTTTGTGTGAACAGTGTTATGTCGCTACGCTATGGACTTAGTATGCCAACGAAATATTAAATCAGATCGTTAAATATGTAGGCTAAAGTTATCACCTTCAACTGCAGCAATGGACAGGGGTGTATCTGAAATCTCTCAAAGCACATGATTTTGGAGGAAAAATGGAGATTTTAATATTTTTTATTTATGAGTTAGCTAATTCTTGTATCATTGAGGAGTGTTGCCATGTCCGCGTACTATAGAATAATTCTTGTTTTTAGTTACAACTTAGCTTTTTTCTCTAATCTGATTCATGTTATTAAGAATGATAAAAATGAACCAGTTCTCATATCCATTAAAAAAATAAATAAATAACAATTAGTCATTTTCGGTTTGTTTTAGGAGATTTGGCAACACAGACCGCAATCAATCCTGAATAACATAATGGGGTACTAGCCTTCTGTAGCCTAAGTGTAACGTTAGTTAAGTATTTAGAAACCATATAACAAAGAAAAGCACACATATATCAGACACAATATTCGCATGACAATTTTCCAGGAACGAACACAGATATGCAGTTTTTGTTTGCAGCTTGTTGCTTCTATGTCATAATATGTCAAAGTCATGCAACCGAATCCTCTTGTGTGCATAGATGCGTTGTAGACTAAGCAGTTTGATAGGCCTGAGAGCATTTAGGGAAACGGCGACCAACGTTTTTCCTCTAGAAAGGGAGTCCTCAAATTATTAATGGCAGACAGAATGATTTCACAGAAATATGCAACAAAACACAAATCCTTGTCGATAGTTAACGCGATGGAATCCTATCACGCCACGTACACGTTCTTGTAGAATTATAAAATCTTTATTGCCATGTCAAATTTCATTTTTCATGATCACACAAATATAACATAACAAATAAACACTTGAAACCGTGGAACAACTGAAACAAAAGACAAAGAGATTAGGTCGAGAAATAACGAAAACGGTCCTAATATTGACAAAGTACTGAGTTATCATTTTGTTTTTAATATGAACATTTAATATGAACACGTATTCAGTACTATGGAATGTGCAGCTATGCATTCAAAATAATGTTGTACAGAGTCATATTTTTTTTACAGACCTTTTGACAGTTATGAATGGTGTTTGAGAAAAAACCCCTGAATGAAATGAAATGTAATAGCTGAAACTAACTGTACGTTAGTCTCATGTAGAATAAAGGTTTAATATACAGCTGGATAAATCAGAGCACACTGGTTCTGTTGGCTTGCTTCTCGGCTCTTAGCATTAATAAGAAGGAGTGGCATGTGTTTGTGCTGGCTGATAATGTCGCTGACCTGTTTAAAAGTCTGCCAAAAACAATAGTGTTACAAACATTAGTCATTATGCATGTAGTTATGATTAAGGACATAAAAAAAACAAGTTTTGATACCTCTGAGGATTTCAGACCAGTGCCTAGCATAAAGCCATCAGGATTTCTGCGGATCTGAATGTTGTAAACTTTATCCTGGTACAGGACCACAAGCGTGTAGGGCTGGTTTGAAGATTGATTTGAACTGTCTCGCACAAGGAACGTCCCATCCTGACAGAGGGCACATTTCAACAGATTAACTTTGTTAACCTGATATCAAGAATGACATGACATTTTTATTTCCTAAAGTTTTTAAGCATGTAAGAACGCAAACTTTTAAGTGCTATATACACAATGGTCTCACCCTGTTAACTCTTCTCAGGCAGCTCTCTGCCTCGCCGCGGGTGACCTGACCCACATACCAAGCTGGATCCATGTCCTATAAATGGAGAAATAATAGTATTAGGGCTGACAATGACTAATGAGCAATGTTTGTCTGTTTTTTCTTATCCGAGAAAATAATGATTCATTAAATCCAAATATTTTACAAAGAAATAATAGTGCTATAAACAAAATTCATCTTAGAACAGGATGGTATTTCTTTATCGGAAGAGATTTGGTGAAATTTAGCATTGCGTCACTCACTGGATCCTTTGCAGTGAATGGGTGCCGTCAAAATTAGAGTCTAATAAACAGACTAATAGAAACATAATAATTCACAAGTAATTCACACAACTCCAGTCAATCAATCAATTAATGTCTACTGAAGTGCAAAGCTATGTGTTTGTAATAAACAAATCCATCATTAAGACATTTTTAACTTCAAACCACATCTTAAATATCCATAAAATTGCCAGTTAAGAAGACATCTAGTCTAAATCAGGAGAGAAATATGCACATATCAAGCACTATTTGTAAGCAAAAACAGTCCAAACCAGTTTTAAACAAATATGTTGGTGGATTTTGATGTGACGGAACAACAAGGAGATGGACTTTTTTTACTGGAGGAAGCATTATTATGGATTATTAATGCTCCATAATTTGGTGAGAAGTGATGGTTTAAAGTTAAAGCGCCTTATTGATGGATTTGTGTCTTACAAACATGCAGCTTATCACTTCACAAGCTGTTAATTGATAGACTGGAGTCATGTCTATCACTGTAATGTTTTTATTAGAGGTGAAACCACATCTTAAATATCCATAAAATTGCCAGTTAAGAAGACATCTAGTCTAAATCAGGAGAGAAATATGCACATATCAAGCACTATTTGTAAGCAAAAACAGTCCAAACCAGTTTTAAACAAATATGTTGGTGGATTTTGATGTGACGGAACAACAAGGAGATGGATTTTTTTTCTGGAGGAAGCATTATTATGGACTCTCATTCTGACGGCACCCATTCACTTCAGAGGATCCACTGGTGAGCAAGTGATGTAATGTGAAATTTCTCCAAATCTGTTCCAAACATTTAATATGAACACGTATTCAGTACTATGGAATGTGCAGCTATGCATTCAAAATAATGTTGTACAGAGTCATATTTTTTTTACAGACCTTTTGACAGTTATGAATGGTGTTTGAGAAAAAACCCCTGAATGAAATGAAATGTAATAGCTGAAACTAACTGTACGTTAGTCTCATGTAGAATAAAGGTTTAATATACAGCTGGATAAATCAGAGCACACTGGTTCTGTTGGCTTGCTTCTCGGCTCTTAGCATTAATAAGAAGGAGTGGCATGTGTTTGTGCTGGCTGATAATGTCGCTGACCTGTTTAAAAGTCTGCCAAAAACAATAGTGTTACAAACATTAGTCATTATGCATGTAGTTATGATTAAGGACATAAAAAAAACAAGTTTTGATACCTCTGAGGATTTCAGACCAGTGCCTAGCATAAAGCCATCAGGATTTCTGCGGATCTGAATGTTGTAAACTTTATCCTGGTACAGGACCACAAGCGTGTAGGGCTGGTTTGAAGATTGATTTGAACTGTCTCGCACAAGGAACGTCCCATCCTGACAGAGGGCACATTTCAACAGATTAACTTTGTTAACCTGATATCAAGAATGACATGACATTTTTATTTCCTAAAGTTTTTAAGCATGTAAGAACGCAAACTTTTAAGTGCTATATACACAATGGTCTCACCCTGTTAACTCTTCTCAGGCAGCTCTCTGCCTCGCCGCGGGTGACCTGACCCACATACCAAGCTGGATCCATGTCCTATAAATGGAGAAATAATAGTATTAGGGCTGACAATGACTAATGAGCAATGTTTGTCTGTTTTTTCTTATCCGAGAAAATAATGATTCATTAAATCCAAATATTTTACAAAGAAATAATAGTGCTATAAACAAAATTCATCTTAGAACAGGATGGTATTTCTTTATCGGAAGAGATTTGGTGAAATTTAGCATTGCGTCACTCACTGGATCCTTTGCAGTGAATGGGTGCCGTCAAAATTAGAGTCTAATAAACAGACTAATAGAAACATAATAATTCACAAGTAATTCACACAACTCCAGTCAATCAATCAATTAATGTCTACTGAAGTGCAAAGCTATGTGTTTGTAATAAACAAATCCATCATTAAGACATTTTTAACTTCAAACCACATCTTAAATATCCATAAAATTGCCAGTTAAGAAGACATCTAGTCTAAATCAGGAGAGAAATATGCACATATCAAGCACTATTTGTAAGCAAAAACAGTCCAAACCAGTTTTAAACAAATATGTTGGTGGATTTTGATGTGACGGAACAACAAGGAGATGGACTTTTTTTACTGGAGGAAGCATTATTATGGATTATTAATGCTCCATAATTTGGTGAGAAGTGATGGTTTAAAGTTAAAGCGCCTTATTGATGGATTTGTGTCTTACAAACATGCAGCTTATCACTTCACAAGCTGTTAATTGATAGACTGGAGTCATGTCTATCACTGTAATGTTTTTATTAGAGGTGTGGACTCTCATTCTGACGGCACCCATTCACTTCAGAGGATCCACTGGTGAGCAAGTGATGTAATGTGAAATTTCTCCAAATCTGTTCCAATTAAGAAACAAACTCATCTACATCATCATGGATGGCCCGAGGGTGAGTACATTTTCAACAAATTGTATTTTTTTTTTTTTTGGGTGAGCTCTTCTTTTAACTGATACTAGAAAGTGGACTCCTCTAGCACCTCGAAGGAAATGCAATGCAATACAAAGGCCCCATCTGCTGGTTGATGTGTAGCAGTGTGATTGTTTGTCAGCAGCTCAAGCATTTCAGCCTACTGTACCTGCTTGCCGCCCACATCTGCTGGAGGAGGTGGTGCTCTTGCGCTTCTTCGGTGATCGCTCATTGCTTCCGTTCAACAAAATAAAGGATTCAATGAGTTATTTTCATTAAATTTATAGTAAGATTAATCAAACTAATGCAATGCGTGCTCACCCTCCTGCAGTTTTGCCGGTAGTGATCTACTGGGGTGAGCACTGTGAAATGTGACAGAAAACGAGTTAAATATAATGGAGTAAATAATATTTCTTGAATAGTGTGAAATCTGACCGCCTACAGTCGGTGTTCTCATTCGAATGCATACTTGTCTGTTTGATAGGACTGTCCGTGGGTTCCTGGCGGTCTTGGTGAAGGGTTCCTGGCGTGCAGTGGAAATGTATTGGAGTTGTGCCTGGCAGCTGTAAGAATTTAAACTTCAACTTAATTAGGGTTTTAAGATTTTTTTCTTTACTGATGATAATAAAGCTTATAATCAAAATATGAAAATACACAAAACATGATAAAGTTACTTACTGTCATCATGAAACTGTTGAAGAAAAAATATTAAAATTAAGTATGAGTCATCTCTCACTCTCTCTATATATATATTTGTGTGTGTGTGTGTGTGTGTGCTTAATGTGATTACCTCTTTTCTGTGGTCAGGTTGTCTGTTGGAAAAGCAAAGTACATGTTACAGTCGTTTTCTTTGTGAAAAGAATGTGCAGTGTAAAGTTATTTCATTTTTTATGAATCTAACCTGTTTTGAGAGTAGCCTGGTGTAACAGAGGAGGCGCTTCTGCGCACCCCTGATGGAGGAAGTGAGGGTTTGGGAATTCTCATTGGGTCTCCTGGCGGCTCCACTGCAGGGAGTCTGAAGCAAATGAAATAAAAGCAAATAAAACCATTCTGAAAAATGGATGACAAATTCGACAAATTTTTCAGTAATTTGCAACTGCTATCAATAGTGGATTCTATGTACACAGATGTTCAAGACAACCTTTTAAAATAGTAAATTATACTACTAAATATTATCGTACTAAAGTGGCATGTGCAGTTATTTCTGTTTTATCTATAAGAGAGGAAATTAAAGGAAACCACTGTACCTTCTTGGTAGGCTTGGTTGGCCAGCCTACAGGAAAAAATAAATTATTAAAGAAATAGCATTTTACAGAGCCATTGAAATGCAAAGTTATTATGGTGTACTATATACAAAAAAATAAAAATGAAACTTTGAAATGGAAAGACAAAATATTAGTAAAAAAGTACACACACACACACACACACGAGGTTAATGTAAGTTATTAGTATGTTCGTAGTAATAATAATAACAACAAGTCATAAATATTATTTATGAACACACACACTATAATATATACTTATATGTGACCCTGGACCACAAAACCAGTCATAAGGGTAAATTTTTCGAAATTGAGATTTATAGATCATCTGAAGCTGAATAAACAAGCTTTCCATTGATTTGTTAGGATAGGACAATATTTGGCTGAGATACAACTATTTGAAAATCTGGAATCTGAGGGTGCAAAAAATCAAAATATTGAGAAAATCACCTTTAAAGTTGTCCAAAGGAAGTTCTTAGCAGTGCATATTTCTAATCAAAAATTAAGTTTTAATATATTTACAGTAGGAAATTTACAAAATATCTTCATGGAAAATCATGTAGTTTTTGTGATCTACTGGGGTGAGCACTGTGAAATGTGACAGAAAACGAGTTAAATATAATGGAGTAAATAATATTTCTTGAATAGTGTGAAATCTGACCGCCTACAGTCGGTGTTCTCATTCGAATGCATACTTGTCTGTTTGATAGGACTGTCCGTGGGTTCCTGGCGGTCTTGGTGAAGGGTTCCTGGCGTGCAGTGGAAATGTATTGGAGTTGTGCCTGGCAGCTGTAAGAATTTAAACTTCAACTTAATTAGGGTTTTAAGATTTTTTTCTTTACTGATGATAATAAAGCTTATAATCAAAATATGAAAATACACAAAACATGATAAAGTTACTTACTGTCATCATGAAACTGTTGAAGAAAAAATATTAAAATTAAGTATGAGTCATCTCTCACTCTCTCTATATATATATTTGTGTGTGTGTGTGTGTGTGTGCTTAATGTGATTACCTCTTTTCTGTGGTCAGGTTGTCTGTTGGAAAAGCAAAGTACATGTTACAGTCGTTTTCTTTGTGAAAAGAATGTGCAGTGTAAAGTTATTTCATTTTTTATGAATCTAACCTGTTTTGAGAGTAGCCTGGTGTAACAGAGGAGGCGCTTCTGCGCACCCCTGATGGAGGAAGTGAGGGTTTGGGAATTCTCATTGGGTCTCCTGGCGGCTCCACTGCAGGGAGTCTGAAGCAAATGAAATAAAAGCAAATAAAACCATTCTGAAAAATGGATGACAAATTCGACAAATTTTTCAGTAATTTGCAACTGCTATCAATAGTGGATTCTATGTACACAGATGTTCAAGACAACCTTTTAAAATAGTAAATTATACTACTAAATATTATCGTACTAAAGTGGCATGTGCAGTTATTTCTGTTTTATCTATAAGAGAGGAAATTAAAGGAAACCACTGTACCTTCTTGGTAGGCTTGGTTGGCCAGCCTACAGGAAAAAATAAATTATTAAAGAAATAGCATTTTACAGAGCCATTGAAATGCAAAGTTATTATGGTGTACTATATACAAAAAAATAAAAATGAAACTTTGAAATGGAAAGACAAAATATTAGTAAAAAAGTACACACACACACACACACACACACACACGAGGTTAATGTAAGTTATTAGTATGTTCGTAGTAATAATAATAACAACAAGTCATAAATATTATTTATGAAAACACACACACTATAATATATACTTATATGTGACCCTGGACCACAAAACCAGTCATAAGGGTAAATTTTTCGAAATTGAGATTTATAGATCATCTGAAGCTGAATAAACAAGCTTTCCATTGATTTGTTAGGATAGGACAATATTTGGCTGAGATACAACTATTTGAAAATCTGGAATCTGAGGGTGCCAAAAATCAAAATATTGAGAAAATCACCTTTAAAGTTGTCCAAAGGAAGTTCTTAGCAGTGCATATTTCTAATCAAAAATTAAGTTTTAATATATTTACAGTAGGAAATTTACAAAATATCTTCATGGAAAATCATGTAGTTTTTGGCAATAATTTTGACCCATACAATGTATTTTTGGCTATTGCTAATATACCCCAGCGACTTAAAACTGGTTTTGTGGTCCAGGGTCACATATATACTATACTTAATAATATATAATATATATAATTAATAAATGTACTATAAACACAACTTGGTGATGTGAAAAAAGGGTGAAAAAACACACACACACACACACACATATACACAGTGTCAAATTCTATTTCAAGCCAAGGTAGGACAACTTAACAACTAAGCAAACTTACTCTGTCAAGCGAACATGTGCCTCTTCCACCTGTGAAGACACAATAAAGTTTTAGGGTTGTTAAAACACAAAACCTGTAATTAAAATACAGTTTAGAATCAAAGCCTTCCCTTCAGACGCTGCCTACATTATCTGTATTGATGGCTTTGACACAAGGTCATATCAAGGTAATCTGAATTGCATTATTTCTCAATTATTATTTGCTAAAATTGACCTGCTACAGCTGGAGGTTGGCCTCTGTCCAGAGCTCCTGGCTTTGTACTGCGGTCCACAGCAGGTGCTATAAGAGCACAGGACGGTAGAAACCACATATAGAAAAGATGGATAAGATCAACAACATCACACCCAGTTTATCTTTTAATTAAAATAAGAATACTTCCCTACCTGGGGGTCTTTTTAGGGGGCGCTCTTCTCTCATAGGTAGTCCAACCTATCAATCACAATATTGAGTTTATATGCAAAGAAGTCTCAAAAAATGAAAACCAGAGATGAAGAGGGACACATACTGTTTGGAAATGTGAAGTACTCACACTTGGCCGCTCTACGGGAGGGAGAGCGGGTCCAGGGCCCGGGCGCTCCGGAGGGACAGGCGGTTGACTTCTGCCCACTCCACGTGTGCGGTTATTATCTGATTAAACAAGGAATCCTATCATGAATTTTCCAAAAGACTGAGACAACGTTAGGATGGAAAAGTGTCCAGTTCTGCATACCAATATAATCGCTGTTTTCCATGGGTTTTGCGGGGCAGATCTGGGCCGTGTCTTCATTAGGCTCGGTTGGTGGAGGCTCATAGCTGTTATCGCTGTCTGACCCCTCCTCTGGGGACTCATAGTCTCCACCGCTAGCTTCACCTTCATCATTCGAATCAGGATTCTCGTAGTCATCATCACTCTCCTTAAGGATGAAAGAATACATGTGTTCTACCAGTAAGATGCGATGCTGATCACTTCAAAACTCTTTAAAACACAAATACGAGACTTACAAACTCCTCAGAGTCCCACGCTTGATCTTCATGGTGCTCAACTGAAAATAGTCAGAGCAGACTTCTAGACACTATCTTAAAATTGTAATTTTAGCATTGAATATATTGTACTTTAATTGTACTTTATGTCATACCTGGTGGTTGTGGGTAGCTGGGAACTGGTGATGGCCTGTTACAAAACACTAAGGATAATTAGTTGTCTGCTGACTGTAGATATGCCGGTTATATAATGAATCATTGTGGAGGCTCATAGCTGTTATCGCTGTCTGACCCCTCCTCTGGGGACTCATAGTCTCCACCGCTAGCTTCACCTTCATCATTCGAATCAGGATTCTCGTAGTCATCATCACTCTCCTTAAGGATGAAAGAATACATGTGTTCTACCAGTAAGATGCGATGCTGATCACTTCAAAACTCTTTAAAACACAAATACGAGACTTACAAACTCCTCAGAGTCCCACGCTTGATCTTCATGGTGCTCAACTGAAAATAGTCAGAGCAGACTTCTAGACACTATCTTAAAATTGTAATTTTAGCATTGAATATATTGTACTTTAATTGTACTTTATGTCATACCTGGTGGTTGTGGGTAGCTGGGAACTGGTGATGGCCTGTTACAAAACACTAAGGATAATTAGTTGTCTGCTGACTGTAGATATGCCGGTTATATAATGAATCAGGGGGGGGGGGGGGGGGGGGGGGTCCATGCAAAGAAAGTAAGTTGGGTCCAATGATTTTCATTGAACAAAAAAAAGAGTTCCTCGAAGGACATTTTTCAAAATATCTTCTTATGTGTTTCCGCTGAAGAAAGTAAGTTTGAAACAAAATGAGGGCGAATAAATGAGGACAGGATGTTAATATCTGGGACAAAAAACCTTTAAAAGTTCAGCAAGAACACAGATGTGATGTCTGGGTCATATAGTACAAACTAACCTTTACAAGTCTGGGCCAGCAATTGATCAAAAGTGACAGTAGAGGTTTCGGTTTCGAATAAATGCTGTTCTTTTGATCTTTTTAAGAAAAGTTCCCACAAAAATAGTAATCGGCACAACCATTTTCAACATGAATAATAATAAGAAATGTTTCTTCAGCGGCAAAATTAGAAAGATTTCTGAAGCATCATGTGACACTGAAGACTGGAGTAATGATGCTGAAAATGTAGCTTTGCTTCACAGGGATAAATTACATTTGAAATATATTTGAATAGAAAACAGTTATTTTTAAGTTGCTTTTAATCCAATAAATGCAGCATTGGTGAGCATAAGATACTTCTTTCAAAAAACATTGAAACAAGCTTACTGACCCCAAACTTTGAATGGTTATTTCATAAATAAACAAGGTTTGTGATGGTAGAGATGCACTGGCCTTATTGTTGGAATCGGCAGAAATAATCCCTTCTTCTTCTGTTTGCTGATTTCCTGACAAATCTTGGAGATGAGCCTAAAAGTATTAGAGAACACCAGTTTCACATCCTCAAAGTGTAACTATACCATTACTAGCACATTATTGACTAGTAGGCGTTTTTAAGAGAAACAACCGAATGTAATTATTGCTTGAAGTATTGGTTGAGGGTTCAGTTCAAGCAGGATGTGGTAATTTTCTGTCCTCATTTCGGTGCACCTGACAATGCTTAATAAACTAACAAAAATCACTTTAAAGTCACTGTCTTGCACTTAAATCCAAATACACTTTTGGGGGAAAAAATCAACAACATCTGCTTGTTTAAGTGTTATTGAGGTGTGGGTGTTTTCAACAATTTCACACCGAACATGCTCTGCAAAACAATTTCTGCATCAACGCTACAGTTCCTGCCACATCTGCTTCTCTGGTTTATCTTTCCTGTGCAGTATTTCCTCTTAATGTCACTATGTCATCGATGGTGTTCTTGCACATTTCTACCCGTTTGTACACTTTTATACAGTAAAATAATATGGCAAAGTAATGATCTACAGTTGTTTTAAAATGTTTTTAAAGCACAGTGAGTGTATTTTTAAAATAAATAAATGAAAAATATATATATTTGAATACTCGGGATATATTATTGTACAATATATGACAAATAAATTCACAATGTCTAAAGTACTCATGCGATTTACCCAGTATAGATTAAGAAAGAGGAATGGCAAATATGCAGTACTTACGGCGCATGAAGCTTAGGGAACTTTTGAAGGTCATTGTCAGACATACTCTGAAAAAATATATACAGACTGATTTTAAATTTATCAAACTAGCTCTCTCTCTCTCTCTCTCTCTCTCTGTGTGTACACTACCAGTCAAAAGTGTTTGAACAGTAAGATTTGTAATGTTTTTTAAAGAATTCTCCTCTGCTCACCCAAGCCTGCATTTATTTGATCCACAGTACAGTAAAAGCAGTAATACTGTGAAATATTTTTACTATTTAAAATAACTGCTTTCTATCTGAATATATTTTAAAATGTAATTTATTGCTATGATCAAAGCTAAATTTTAGCATCATTACTCAAGTCTTCAGTGTCACATGATCCTTCAGAAATCATTCTAATATGCTCTTTTGCTGTTCAAGAAACATTTATTATTATTATTATCATTATTATTATCAATATTAAAAACAGTTGAGTACATTTTCAGGATTCTTTGATGAATAGAAAGATCCAAACATCAGCATTTATCTGAAATAAAAAGCTTTCGCAACATTATACATCATTTAATTTTTTTGGGGGGGAAAGAAATTATAGAAATTAATACTTCTATTTAGCAAGGATGCTTTAAATTGATGATCAAGTGATGATAAAGACATTTATAATGTTACAAACGATTTCTATTTCAGGTAAATGCTGTTCTTCTGAACTTTCGATTCATCAAAGAAACCTGAATAAATTCTACTCAGCTGTTTTCAACATAATAATAATTCATATTTTTTTGAGCAGCAAATCAGAATGAGTTCTGACGGATCATGTGACTGGAGTAATAATGGTAAAAAAATTTAAATCACAGGAATAAATTACTATTTAATTACTTAAAATATATTCAAATAGAAAACATTTTCTTTTAAATAGCATAAATATTTCAAAATTGTACTGTTTGTGCTGTACTTTGGATCAAATAAATGCAGGCTTGGTGAGCAGAAAAGACTTCTTTAAAAAAAAAAACATTACAAATCTTACTGTTCAAAATCTTTCGGCTGGTAGTGTGTATATGCTTATGTACACTGCATGGCCAAATAAAAAAAGTCACCATTTGGATTTAAATAAGCAAAATACTGAAGAGTCTACGGCTGGATCATTATTGCATTGATTAATACGTTTCTGTCATGTTTTGTAACAATTCTTTTTACTCTAACTGATGCAGTGTGTAGCTTTTACATTTCTTAAACAGCCATGTTGGAAGATGTACAGGTCCATATTCCAGGATGACAATGTCATAGGGCCCAAACCATGAAATAATGGTTTAATTAGGACGAAGAACAATTTTCATGTATATATTTCATTGTCCTGACCTGGAGTTGACTTCACAGAGTGGTTACAGAGACTCCCCCATTGTCAATACAACATCTGAGCCAAAAATTAATGTTGTGACATTACATAACATCGTCGAAACCATTCCATAACGAACGCACAATGTTAGCAAAGCTAAAGGCTGTCCAATGATATATTAGGGTGTGTTTTTGAACAAGCTGACTCTAGAAGATCCCAAAGACTTTCAGTGATTTTAAGGTCAGGAATCTGCGGTGGCCAGTCTTTCACAATTTGAGCCACAATCTTGGCACTGTCATCCTAGATTAGGTCCATGGGTACATCTTCCAACATGGTTGTTTAAGCAATAAATGCTATGCACTGCATCAGTTAGGGTTAAAACCATATTAATCACTGCTATAATGATTCAATCCTTCAAAATCATTTGAAGGCTCATTTGAACATAGATAGAAACACACATAAACACATTTAGAACTTATTTTGAAAACAGAAGTTCTTGAGAGTTTTTAGAGGTTAGCAGTTTACTTGGTAGTTAGTTTCTAATAACAGCACTTCCTGAATTGCTGGATCGAGGGAAACAATGATCTCACATTGAGTCAGACCATAGCCATCTGTTTTGTAATGGCACATTTTTATCTGTGCTCCATAATGAATATAAATATTTAAGAAAATGTTATATTTTTTTTTTTACAAATGCAAACAAAAACATCCTTAAAATCAAACAAATTTAATTCACATTACCACAAAATGCACAGGGCTAAAATTAGGCCTATATTAAATGATCATGACATACAAAATTATGATTATGTATACATATGCTGAAAATGGTCAATTCTGGTTTCTAAATGCCTCTTGAATTTATTAATTTCCCCCTGCTGTCTGCGATCAGAACAGATCTGTGACACAGTTTTGGGTTGTGGCATACCAAAACTGCTAGACTCAATTTTTTATAGACATACATACCAGGAACCTTTGTCCATTGATGTTATACCGTGTCACGACCTTATCACACCCGGTTAGATTCCGCTAAAGATCATGAAAAAGAAAGCATGTCAGCTGAATATACAGGCTCAAAGAAATAACTCCATATCTCCAACATAATGTAATATTAAATATCATTAAATATACATTCAACTCTATTAAAGATTTACTGATGCATAACAAATGTCTCTCAGTTTTAAACAGTACCAAATTCATAGTACATGTGCTGAACGTCTATAAAAGAAACGTTTTAATAATACATTAATTACAACAGATAGGTTTTCAATTTCACTTCATATTTTACATTGAAACATAGAAAGAGAAAGCAACTTACTTTCTTCAGAAATTCTGCTAACCGTTGTGAATCCCAGCTCAGAACCTCCGATTTGGATGGAATACTATCAGAACTCATTATTCCAAATGTGCTAAACTTACTTATGAATATCAAATCCCAGAAACCAACAAGCATTGAAAAAAAAAAAAAAAGGTTGCCACTCTCACTGTATCTGACACTATGTCTCCTGAGAAGACGAGGAGATTGGTGCCAAATCAAAGAAGAAAAGAAATCACGAGATAATACTTCAGTGACAGAATCACCCTGTTTCAAATGTAGAAGCGGAAGAAACACTCAAAATTCGACCAACATTTTCAAAAATAACTAAAAAGCCCAACACCCCGGATTTGCCTGAGCACAGTATGAAAAGAAAGAATGACATCCACTTCCCCATAGACTTCCTGTTAATGATTGTTGTGACAAATAGGGGAAGTACAGCCCCTTCATGAAAAAAAGAAGCTATTTCTTAATTTATTATAATTCATCTTCGACCCCTCTGACAGATGTAGACTATAAGCACTTGGACATTATGAACTACTGGACTCAATCTGATGTTCATTTAAGTCTTCTGTGAGATCCTAGACACACAATGCAAGTTTAAAACTACATTATTATTTGATTATCTGCCTCATTACCTACATCTTGCCAGTTCCACATGTCATGTGATTCTTACATTTTGGTTTTGAATGTTGATAACAGAGCTATTTAGTGCAAATGAACCCTTGCTAGTTACATAAGATAACATGAGCAAAATCAATGTATGAGCAGTACTTCATGACTGATTTAAAGTTTAGAAGTTCACAAAACAAATCATATATTCATCAAAGTTGTAATATACACCATTTTATTATAGTCAGTTTTTAATTTCATCTTTTAGTTCAGAGCTTCATTCGCCATTAGTTGATGCTTCTGGGGTTAAATATGTAACATTTCAATTAGAATTTAACATTCAGACTGATAATTAACAACTATTTTAGCATTTTAATTTAGCTTTAAAAAAAAAAAAAAAAAAAAAAAAAACAAGCCTGGTTAAATTGTGGAATTTTTGTAGCTTCATTTTAAAACTAGTACCCAAATTATTGGATTATGGGAATTGTGCTGCTATTTACCATTTAAGAACCACATTTGCAAAAGAAACTAACAAAAAGTCAGATGGTGTGAAAGATTATGTGGATCGTGACCTGCAACACGGACGGCTGGTTCAGCTCCTGAACTGTTCGCATATAACACCCACAACTGGAAACTATGAGTTTCAAGCTTTCAGTTGCTCCTGTTCTAGGGGTTAGTTCATGGAAATATCTCGGTAAATGTGCTTCCATCACTGAATATCCACTTTGATGTAGCTGTAAAGTGTATTTGCTTCACGAACCTGTAAACGGATGTTCAGATATGATTATCATATTACATGTACTTGATGTCATGCACCAAAACACATACCAGGCCCTGCCTTGTCACACAGTTATTTCCATTTCCTGGCTGCTTACGAAATAGGAGGTGGTTCAGTGGGTGTATTAAGACCTGTTTTGAGGGCAAAGTCAGCGGTCTTGATTCAGAGTAATGTCATCCTGTTGTTTATATATGTCAATAATGTTTTAAGAGGCTCCCACACTTTTTTTTTTAATTTTAGTGGAAAGTATCGTTACATGGTACATTTCCTTTTTTATTGCTAATTTTAAATTAAATTATTTGAGCATTTTGTGACTGATGCTTGAGATTGTTCATGAAGGGGCTGTACTTCCCCTATTTGGACTATTGTAATGCATTGTTTGGTCTATTGTAATGCACTGCTAGGTGGTTGTCCTGCATCTTCAATAAACAAGATACAAGTAGTCCAAAATGCAGCAGCTAGTCCTTACCAGGTCAAGAAAATATGATCATATTACCCCAAATTTACAGTCTCTGCACTGGCTACCCATTAAGTTCTGTATCAGTTACAAAATATTATTACTTAACTACAAGGACCTTAATAGCTTCTGCGTACCTAACTAGTCTTCTACCACGCTACAATCCATCACGCTCCCTAAGGTCGCAAAACTCTGGACTTTTGGTAGTACCTAGGATAGCAAAGTCCACTAAAGGAGGTAGAGTTTTTTCCCAAACTCTGGAATAGCCTTCCTGATAACATTTCTGTTTAAGGGGTCATATGTTTAAAGGGGTACTCTCTGTTTAAAGGGGTCATATGACGTTGCTAAAAAGAACACTATTTTGTGTATTTGGTGTAATGAAATGTGTTTATGCGGTTTAAGGTTCAAAAGCACGTTATTTTCCACATACTATACACATGATTGTTTCTCCTCTATGCCCCGCCTTTTTGAAACACGGCGATTTTTACAAAGCTCATCGGTCTGAAAAGTGAAGTGTGCTGTGATTGGCCAGCTATCCAGTGCAGTGTGATTGGACGAATACCTCAAGCGTGTGACGGAAATGTTATGCCCCTTACCATACTGTGATGCCGTCTCCAAGCAGGACGAGACAAAACCAATAAAACCCATTACAAACGAGGCATTTGTTGCATCCAGTGGGGACATAATTACGGATTATAATGACTTATACTGTCTTTTACGCGTTGCGTTGCATCGCGCCACGTAAGCATAAAACCATGTCTGCATTTGTGATCGGAGAAATGACAAACAACAAGTGCTACTCTACACTGCTCAAAACTCGCGTTTGAATCGTCAGTGGCAGATTCTTTAAATATAAAAAATGTACTTACAGTCTGTAGCGTCTGGACCACTCAAACACACAATATATATTTTGTTAGCTAGATTTAACAAATACTCTGTAACACCCCAGGAAGCTGAACAGGCCCCTGGTTCCATAGCAATGCTGACACCAGATACTTTTACGACTATGTGGAATGTGAGCAGAGACTCTCAGCTGCATTTTCCAGAAGCAAGAGGCACAAAGGCAGTGTAGAAATGGACGTTTCTACTAATTAATTAATAGGAAAACCTTTCTTTGAATGAACACACATGATCCTTCAGGTCATTGGGTATATTATTGTCATCGTGTATTTGGTCTTTGAAATTGTATACTGTTATGCAGGCTTATAATCGAAACACACTCCTGTCAGCTTACATATATATATAACTCTACCATGTTTAGTATCTATGAATTCGTATTCAGATGATCTAATTGAGAGTGTATATTGTATATTTACACCTACGCAACATATTAGTGTTCTAAGAGTCTTTAATAATTTGTATTCGAGTTTCATTTGCAAATTACCATGCTTTCAAACAAAGGGCCATAAAAATGCCCCAGTATCTCAGAACTCCCACTTGAGATTCCAGACTTCCTCATCGGACAAGCCCATCTTGAGAGGCGTGAATCTTTGCAGGCTTTAAAGGCCGCACTCCAGGGACCC